TGAGTGTCATGTACTTTCGCTGGATGGGTCTGAAAATCCTTGAACACCATCCCTTCCTGGTATAGTGGTATTCACACACGCCTCCTCAGAGGTGAAAGAAATCCTGAAGTGACCAAGAGCTGAGAAGACTTGAATCTCTGACACGTGGAGGTGCGAGAAGTCCCTCCCGAGACGATGCTGCGCTGAAATCAAGTGGTCTTTTTGATTCAAAACCAGGAGAGCTCCACCCAGGAGCGGTCCTCCGCCGAAAGCCACTTGGTATCCCCACTTGCCTTGGTCGGAAGGTCGAGCGAACGACGGGCGATGGATCAGGAAGCTGCATAATCTCCCATCAACACCCACAGCTCAGCATGATCCGAATGGTGGATGTTGAGATGTTCTTTCACAATGTTGCTATGTGTCTGTTTTGTTCATTTTTTTAACCCTGCTTCCAATCTCCACCGTCCTGTGTCCTCTAGCGAGGCATTTGAGATTGCGGAGCAATCATAAAATTATCCTACCTCCTACAATCAGTGGTTGCAAAAGGTTCCAAAACCACCCAAAACCACCAACTAGCAACCACGGAGTTCGTGTTGGATGCTTCCTATCTCTTGGGATCTCCCAAACTGAGATCTTCTGGAACCAGCTCTGAGGGCCAGCTGTGACTCATTTAGATCCATTCAGATGGCCTTAAGGACAGCAGGTGTAAGTGGAACCACTATATATAGACCAATGAAGCAGTTGGTGCCCACCGGCTGGAAACCGGCGTTGTTTCCTGTGTAACCTCGGGTGGAAGAGACGAGACTGACTGAGGATATTTCTCACGTTCCATAACCTGAACGGCGTCAACATGTGTTTTTCAACGAGTGTACCATGGACACAGGAAGCACGGAAGAACTCCAATGGGGGGATTCGCCAAAAACAATATATTCACCTGACCCAACAACATGTTGTTCTTTCTTTGAGATCCTTGATCCCCTGGATCTTGGTTGCCACAACAGTTGTCCGCAAAAAATACACACTGGGCGTGTGTTTTGAACACTCAACCGGCTCAAGTCTTGGTGAATCTGATCGACCAAAGCAAATGTCGTTTTCTTCACAAAGAAAGACTACCCAAGACCATGTGGGTCTGCACAAACCATTCACCCTACCAGCACACTCCGCGGCTGGGTCCCCCAACAGCCGTGGGGGTTGCCTGAAGGCGGTGTGAAGTCTTCGAAGGACCCAGCTGGCGTCGATGGCGATGGGGGGGGTGATGGGCACCAGAACAAATCACTGGTCTTTCAATGCCAATTGACGGTTATCACACATAACAAGTGTTGACCCACAATTCAGTGAAATTGCCCAAGTACAACAGTACAACGGGTGCATTGATAATATCCTTTGGAGCGACCTCTTCTGGTATGTGTGCGTGCGAGTAAAGAATACAACAGCTGTCCGTGTTCTCCAGCTCTAACAAGTTGAATGAATACATACGGATTCTGGCCAAGTTCATTCACCCAAATCACCCTCCAAACACCTTCGCCAAACAAACACCTTTCATCTTTCTCACCGAGCAGCAGCAACTCGCTGGTACTGCCATGGCTGCGCAAGAGCTTCATGAGGCTCCTACGATCGAAGAATCGAACGAAGCGATGCGAAGAAGTCATCGACTCTTCGTGCCGCGGCGCGGCGCGGTCACGGCGTGGGGGCGAGGCGGATCGGGACGTCGTGGGGTGGGGACGAGGGCCCAAACGATCGGCTTGGTCTGAGGTCAACGGATTATGTCTGACGATGCGACGATGCCATGATTCCAATGGCGTTGGATTGTGAATGGAATTTCAGATGAACATCTCACAAGGCACCGGGTTTGTACCAGAGAGAAGAGAGAGAGGGAGAGAGAGCCGTCTTATCCAGCAAGAAAAGACACTGCAAACTTCTTTGCCAACGATGACAGTTAAGTTTTGGTTGGTTTATCAGGGTCGTGGTCTGTATATCCCTCACTGGTTACTTAAGCTCTAAAGGCTGCAACCCCTGGTATTTGTGTTTCTGTTCAATTTGCGCCTGTGTGCCTCTCTTCACGGATGAACAAATCCACACCTCTGCTGGTACAGTAGACTCATGTCCTTTTGTGTGTTTTGTTCTGTGTCCCCTCATGTCATCCATTTCACTGATTCAAATTGTCCATGTGTCTTGGTACAATCAATTCCAAGTATGTCCAACACATGTTGGCCATGGTCCAAACATGTCCAAATCTCTTTCTCGGGACTTCCTTCTGAGGCCTCCCTTCCACCACGGGAAGGCTCCTCCCGTTGTCAACGGGGCTGCCGATGAGCCGCAAAGGTTCAGGGGTCCGATCGAAGCCCACTGGAATCCAGTGGCATCTGATGCAAAAAAAAATGGTGGATGGATCTGGTGCCATGGGAAGGATCTGGTGAACATGTCCCATCAAAAGGACTGAAGGGGAATGACCAACTTCCCAGCAGTCAGCAGGGGTAGATAGAATGCTCTGGATATATGTTATATATATAGAGAGAGAGAGCTCCCATATTTTGAGACAGCCTTTCAATCGATCTGCATCATACCAGCTGAATTGGTCATTGTGTCAAAATAGACTCCATTGTTGGTTGCCAAAAAATAACCTAAGGTGTTGTTCAATTTCTCACAACTTCTGGTACAACTCTCTCCAGTTCAGAACTGCAATTGAAAACCACTCTAGCTCCCGTTTAGCCAAGCAGAAGAAACATCACAACCTCATGCTGGAACTCCTGCACAGCTTCCTGCAGTGTTCCCACTTGATGTATGCTCTTTTCCCTTGCACAATTGCACAAGTAGCTACTGTACGCCGACCTTGGTCACCAAGCCATTCTTTGAGCATTGACGACCAGGCATCACATCACACCGTTCATTTTGGAGGCCGGTTCTTCGACATGGAGCAGCAGGTGAGACATGCATGTGGTATCATGTGGTAATGTCATGGGCTCTAACATATTCTTTGATCTACTACTGAATCAGTGCATCTGCGAACCCGAGCCATTGGTCTCATTAGTCTCTCTAGTCTAGTTCAGACCGCCATCACCTTGGCCATCCGATCCCCGGCGCGATCACATGGGCACCATCTCTGGTTGATCACCACGATCACCGGCGCCTGTCCGAGGACTGAAGAGTTGGAGATCCGAAGATCCCAAGACCACCGTGATGCGAGCCTGGAGTTCAGCCTTTTTACAGTGGTTTCAGATGGAGACCCCAATCAATGGGTGTGGGTCTATGTTTCTCCTTCCCAGAGGAGGTCTCGCTATTAAGGTACACACTCATACAGTGGTTTCAGAGGTTCGATGGCACTGGCACTCCAAGATGTCTTAGACAGATGGGGATCCATATCAACCACCAAGCTTGGTGATTGTGCCATCTACTCTCAATCCACTGTACTCCCAACCTCGAGTGGGCTTTCGATGTGGATGTCCATCGCGGGAGGGTCCAACGGTTAAACCTGAGAAACCTGACCACGCCTGCGAGGAGCACCAGCCAATAACATGTCTTCATGGCTCGCTCCGGCTCCGCGATGCGCGCGTGTTGGACGAACGCCCGGGGGAAGCACTTCGTTCTGAGGAACCATCATGGCAGTCGGACAACAAAGATCCATCTGTCTGCCATAGAATGTGTTGTGGCCTCTTCTGACTCAATGATTCAATGTTCCGTCAAAATCAAAACTTCTTTCAAATTCTCGTAGGCCTTCAAAATACATACTATGCGACCATAAGCATTGTGCGGCCTGTCCAACATGCCTGGTACCTGGATTCCTTTAGAACCTCCGCCCGACCAATGGTACTGACCGGTACCCTTGATCTACTGGGCAAGGTGCCGATGGCTGATGGCCCGTCGCAGCGCGGCATTCATCTGTTTTCGCCGAATTTCTGCAGTTCATCAGTTTAGTCTTCCAAAACTTCAGTCGCCTGTCTTTGGGCATTGAAGATTGGGCACGTTCTTCTACACGAAATCTCGGTCTAAAGTGGTTGAATTCGGAGCTCTGCTCTTCGACACGGTTTGACTGGAAAAGACATCTTGGATTCTGGATGCACGTGTTCATATCCTTCAGAATGTCACCCTTGGGTTGTGTGGGAGCACCTGTCCTTTTGACATCTAGGTCCTTGGTCATCTAGGTCACCTGTCCTTTTTTCCTTATGTTGCCTGGCCACAGTGCCACCTGGTAGTTTGTTTGTCCAAGCCTGAAGTTGTAAGGTACGAAATCACAAATGATCGATGATGTTCAGTGTTCAATACTATTAATAACATTATTATAACCATCTTGAGTCATAGATGCAGCTGGAGTATATGACATGTTTCAACATATCCATGTTTCACATGTTCCAAATGTATTGTGCTATTGGAATTCTCCACTGAAGCATGTTTGCACGTTCCCACACACTTGCCATAGTTGGATGGACGATGATCTCATTTCGAAGTTCATCGGCTTAGTCTCCGAGGCTTTTTGTGCAATGTCATTCGCCATTGGCCCATTAGCCAACGACCCAGGGATCTCCACGCCCAAATATATACTAAATTAAAGCTTGGCACCCGGAACGAACTGGGGAGGAAGGCTAGCGGCTAGGAAGCGTTTGATTGGGAAAGCTCGGTCTCAAGGCAGGCCAAAAAGATACGTATACGGAGGGGTGAAAGCTAGAAGGTACACACCAAATAGGCAAAGAATCCTGAGTCCACAATCTCAGAAGACGGTGGAAGACAAACATCGAAGTTGAGCGAACAATTCAATCCTGGAGTGAACTGCGAAGTGAACGATGTGAACTTTGCCAGATACAAATCATTGGTTCGTTGGTTCTCCATGAATCTTGGTAGGCCACATTCTACCACCTTCTGGTTTCTGTACTTGACATCAGTGTGCGGATTTCTGAGCTTCGACTCTAGGAATATCTATCATCAACATCAAAGTCATTGATCAGATCCGTTCGCTCCGGGATTCCTTCGGTCTATCCGTCAAATCCATCTAAAAAGGCCGGCTCATGGTTCTGAAGAAGGTCGATTCGTCAACCTAAGGCAAACACAGGGCGGTCGCTTCCCGAGGCAAATGATGGCAATCAACTCCATGGTGGTCGCTTGGTTGTCTTGGAACTCAATTCTATGGAGCTTCCAATCAAGATCCCTTCGCGCGGCATGTACGACAGGAAACATCGGGCCCACAAAACTCAGCTGGGTCCTATCCATCGAAGAGCAACTGTCTAATTTTGTCTAACATGTGTGGGATTGTTTTGGCGCTGACACCGTTTCATGTTGGCTTTCTCATTGTGCGATACTCTGTCTGCTTGAGGATGACGATTGTGTGTGCGTCTCCTCCGAAATGTGAGCAAACCTGCAAAGGCCAAACAAATGAACTAATGTATTTAATTACGTACATCGGTGTTATATAAGTCGGAGGACTCCAAGTATGTGACACCCGGCCAAAATCATGAAGTTGTTGGGCAGTAGCTGCATCCAGCTCCAATGGTTGAAACAAAACATGCACACAACAAATGAAAGACACACACTTTGGACTGGCACCAACTGGAATCTCCGCAGTACGCCAATACATTGGACACACACCCCACCAATAAAGACATTGTACAAATGGCAAGTACTGACTCGTACTCATGTTCAAGGGCCCCGTGAGTCAGCTCGTGCCAAGCGCATCGTGCCATGGATCGGACCCTACCAATGGGTGGGGCCAATGAACTCTCCTGTAATAGCTTGGTGGGATCACTCCGATACCAACAGGCAAAAGTTTAAAACTCGCACGAAGTGATACCACCAGGGATGTGTCTGTTTTTCTCGAGCTGTGGAACAAAATATACCTCGAGCGTTTTTCTTTTGGAATTGTTCATCTTCTTGTGATGGTTGGGATGATGGCTATTGTTCATTCATTTGGTTCTTCCCGAGCTATTGTTCATTCCTCTTCTCGTTCTACGTTTCTTGTCCAGGTCATGTCTCCTGGCCAGAGCAACTCAGCGGGTTGCGGGTCTCGACGATTTTTCGCAACTCTGAGAGCCCGGACTATTGTAGCTGTAGCACGCCTTTGCTACTGCAAAGACCGAAGAGCACACGCTGGTGCCGATGCTGAACATGATGAGAGGGTTCTTCTTCACATTGATGGTGAATAGATACCTCAGATTCCAAGAGAACAATCGAAGGTCTAAACGAAACAGGGCTTTCTCTTTAATACTCATATTATGCTTTGAATCTAGAAAGCCGCCTGTTCCAACAACCACATGGCTGAAAACATCTTGAAACCTTGTGCTAGAATCTACAGCCACGAATAATACCCAAAGTATCACAAAGGAGTTGCACCATTCTCACGAAATTGGTCACCTGGAGATCTCTGTCATCTCACTTGGAGGCAGGCTCCAGCTCTGGGTGTTCCGGGTGGCCAGCATTTCTACGCTCAACTGGTTTACAGCATTTCTTACTAGTTCTTGTGATGTTCTTTTTCCAATAAGTCTTGTTTGGACATGTTTCCTGATACTTCCTGATTATGCAAGAGGAGGAGGGACTCCAAAACAGACCTGGTCAAGTTTGAAATAAGATGGCTGGCACGACTTACAATTAACCAATGACGCAGCTGAGCCGTTTGGGTAGTTATGTAACCTTTGGGGTCGCCCAATCTGACGGTCAAACGTCAGAAGTCCAACGCGCCGGTCCGCGGTGACGCACGTCCGAACGGATGTGGCGAGCGAGGGACCACCATGACACTATCTAAGTCAATGATGAATGCTACTTCCAAATAGAGGATGCATTGAATGCAAGTGAATACTTCAATGAATGCTAGCAAAAGCAAATGCTAGTGAAAAGAGTCTGGCAATGTTGGATGTTCGGTGTGAGTGGTTTGTGCCGCCGCACATCAAGCGGCCACCCCGATCACTCTAATTACAATCTTGTGCCGTCGGTTCAACAGCAATATGTCCCACTAGCACGCTACGAACGGAGCAAAGGGCATCGCTACTGGGAGCAATGTTCGCTACGAACGGGACTCCTGGCATCGCGAACCGAACGGAGCGATCGGACGCGAACCGAACGGAGCAAAACTCGGGCATCGCGAACGGAGCAAAACTGCTCGGCTCTGGTTTGCAACAGATTGTTGAACCTTAGTGCTTGGAGGATTCCAGGGTGCCAACATCGATCGGCTCGTGTCCATGTTCGGGAGCAAGCTCCCTCGTTTCCTTCGTCCAAAGCGCTGCAGAACACATTGCGGCAAATCCTCGCCGAGGCAGCGGAGCACTGCCAAGACCATCACTTGTCGTTTGGCATCTGCCTCGTTGATCTCGAACTGCTGATCTCGGAACCAGGCGGAAAAAAACATCCGGGAAGCAACATATCCGGCATATTCCTGCATGATCCTGCTACTGAGCCTCAATCAAACTAGCTCTGGAAAGGTTCATCATCTTCTGATGCTATCTATCTTGCAGCCAAATGTACAGTATTCTACTTCTGATGGGACAGGTATATTAGTGTACATGTTGCATCCTCTTATGATCTCTTATGCGTGTTAAGCCATTCAACAGCCCAGGCACCCAGCGGCACGTAGCCCTTTTTTTGTCTTGTCCTTGGAGCTGACTCAACGGGGAACAAGAGCAAATTCCACATTGCCCCAACTTGTCCACTCTGCCCTTGACTGGCTCCAATGAAAAGGGTCGGTATGCACAGCTGAAGAGCTACAACTCCACCAGCGTAGGTGAGAAGAGCTGCATGGCCGTACCACGATCCACACGTAGTCGCGATGGCGATAAACATGGCATCCGTGTACATGTCAAGCTCCGCCATAACGTAGAAGACATATGTGGTCACTCGTGCAAACGCACTGTGTTCGTGCTGGTAGAAGAGCAACCAAAACATTGACTTCATGCAAATCACGAAAGCAAACGCAAAGTGTACCTACATGATCTGCAGTGAGTTTAGGTGGAAGGGTGGAACCTACGCATTCGAAGGTATATTTGCAGCCACAAGGAAGAAAAACAACAGAGTTCCGGCGTTAAGTGATAAATGTCGGAGGAGGAGGTGGTGGTGGTGTAGGTTGTGGAGGAGTGACGGTGATGGAGGCCGTGGTGGTGGTGGAAGTGCCCCCCCAGAAAATGGATCTGCGCATCCAAACCACTGCGGTGGCAAAGAAGCACTTTACAGCCCTAGCAAAATGTTCGCGCAACTCTTCTCCGAATTTGAAGCGTCGCGTCTCATTGCGCATCTGAGCCGTTAGAACATCACGAAGATATTGCCGCCTAAAAAACTGTGCTTCCAAGCAAGTAAAACATGTCTGATCTCCTGCACCTGCCACCAAAAGTGAGCTTAGGACCCTCAAGCCAAGAGGAGTTCTATTCCGCCTGTGGACCTCAAGTCCGAAGACTGCGCTTGGCACCCACGACAACGGAAGCTGTCAAGAAGTAGCTGTCAGAGCGGTATCCTACAGGTTCTGCGACACTGCGCCGTTGGGTTGCGCACTTCAAAATGACGAACTTTGGCGTGAACCTGTTGCGCAAATCGAAGTAAGACCCTCGAGTGATACACGCTGTTTGAGGAAGAAAACCCAGTCTGTAATGTCATCAGCATTTCCTGTTGCACTGCGGCCACATCCTTGTTTCAAGTTGACATTAGGAAAATCCGTCATGTCATGATGTCATGGCAATATTCTGGTATGCTCGATCCGGGTGATCATCGTTGCACAAACGATCAGTCGCCTAGAACACCGGAATCGCCGCGAAGAGTGGAGAATGCAATTTTCACAACTACTTCTGGTGAAGACAGACTGAAAGATGATTCAGCTCCCAATGAGACAAAAGCTAGACAGTCCGATCAGTGACCTCTTCCAGCAAATGGGTCCTATATAAGCCTATAATAAAATAACTGTAGTGGTGTTTGTTTTAACCTGTGAACAAATGCAATGAACTATTGAACTGCGCCAACGGACTGGCCTCCCAATCGAATCCATCAATGCAGTTGACCTTGTCGTGAACAAAGGCGCCCAGGGGTAACGTCAGCCACGGTGCCACCAGTGGTCATGAGCATCGGGATGCCACGCCAGGTGATTCGCACGAGAAAACTGGCGAGAGGCCATGCTGCCACGAAAGACATCCACCAAGAGCCGAAAGGGCCCGCAAGGCCAGGGAGCTAAGACAAGCAAAGCATCACTGCGCCCAGGAGCAAGGAAGCTCCAGATGTGGCCATGGCCGGCAAAATGCTGATGGGCACGCCCAGAAATGGAATCAGACAAGAGGCAAGCAAAAGAAGGAACCATGCAGAAATGTGAGCTCTCTGCAGCAAGGTCCAAGCGTTTTGCCAGCTTGGTCCCACATCTGGGATCATAAAAGGTCCCAAAAGGAGAAACAAGACAAGCAAAACATCCAGGAAGCCGAGGAAAAAAGTCCAATTCTCATCGCATCCTGGACCATAACCAGAAAGGAATTTATTGTAAAGAAATACTTGAAGAATAACCACTGCCAACATCACCCCAAGGAAAGCGCAAAAGGCCCAGATGTTGTTCCACAGGTCATGGTCAAAGCTCAGTGCCTGAACGGCCGGCATGAAGCCAAAGGGTTCCGATGTAAACAGGTCACCCGGTATGAATGCGTACCCGATCGTGGCCAGGAGCACCAAGATCGCAATGGAGCCTTGTCGTCATGAAAAAGTGATCAAAGAAAAATGGTTCCTCGTCTGTATTAGGTTCGTTCCCCAAAAGTGCCCAGATTGGTTTCTGATGGTCCAGTTTTCTCCGGAACCTTGGACCACTTTTGGCTGAGAAACCGTAGAACAACATTGCTGTGACCTCACCATCAGGGTTCATGGCATGCCATAGCGCACCAAAGGTGATGACTCCGCCAATCATGAACAGGAACTTGGGTGCTCGAACACCTTCTTCCTTGGGAGTGTACCTCGATTTGCAGATGTTGTTCTCTTGTTCCAAGAGTCGTGGCCATGCTTCGACACAGGCGTGGCAATGCCAAACACGACATGACTCTTGCTACTGTTCAAAAGCACAGGAAGAAAAGAGTTATATAATTAAAGACGTGACAAATGTTTGCAAATAAAATCGATATTCCTCTCACTCCTTGCAACTGCCGGTGCTCTTGATACCCCCAGGCAAGTAATTACAACTTTGGGTTTCACCACTGAAATGCATCATCCATACTATCAAGAAGAAAAAAGAACATCCACAACAGCCACACCATGCAAGGCTGTTTGAGGATCCAGGTACTTTGGCTTTGCCAAATAGCGTTCATCCACTTCTGCCAGTGCCAAATCTGCTTCTTTCTTTGTCGTAGTGTGGTCTCGACCGGCAAAAAGGGTTGAATCCTCCAAAAGCCTTCGCAGCAAAGGAAGCTGCGGTTTGCCGCAGCGAGGGGGGGACATTCCAGTTGGACCTCCGGAAGAAAGCAGCATCGACAAAAACTGATAGAGCACAAAACCTGCTGCTTTCCACCCTGGGCATCGGTGGCCCTACCTGGTGGTCAATGCCTCAAGCTTGAATCTGCTCCCCAGCTTTGTTGTCACCAGCAGAAGTTAAAACATCCTCCAATGGTTGATTGATGCGATGACTCTGTAGATGGAGACTGTATGGGGAATGGATTGATGTGTGGACAAATGTATGGATGGAGTGGGGCTTCGTTGGTGGCTGTATGGACAGACTGATTTGCTGATGAATGAGATTGGTAATCCACCAATGCCGGACTTGATGAATGGTGAATTGGTTGCATGATGCGCATGCGCTCAAACCTTCCGGACCTTCCGTTGAGGTCGTGTTCGCCGTGAAAATAATTTGAAAAGTATATAACCGACCCCCTCATCGACCTTCCCACCTTCTGCGAGGAACTGGCAATACACCTTTGGATGTGTCCTACAATCCTACAACGGGAGTCCCAACAACCAATACATAGCCATCTATGCGTCTTGGATGGGGACGTCCTATTGAAACTATAGATGCCATTCAAGTGATCCCCGCCTCATCAGGAGGTCATAGTCACTTGTTGGCAAAGCAGAGATTCCCGTGAGGACGAACCACTCCAATGTAGAATCACACGGCGCCTCTACTGCAGTGACGCAAGTCATTCACTTCTTGTTGTGCTCTCAGTCTTACAGTAAATTCAATGCGATCTCTGATGACATCGGTCTGTCTTTGATAGGTGTAAAATAGAGATTGCTTTTCCCGACAGCAAGATCTTCTCTATACACGATATGTGTATATATTTTGCATAATTATGTATTATGTATATATTATATATATATGTATAATATGTATGCCTCCCAGCTTCTAGGGAGGCAATGAACACTGACTCTGCTTGCTGGGAGGTGTCTTCCACAATTTGATTGATTGTTTCATTGGTATCCCATGCTCTTCTCTATGGCGCCAATGGTCGAAGTGGCCCTTTGAGGGAAGGTGCAAGACCACGATCATTGTGTAAAGAGTCCTCTTGTAATCTGGAGCAACACGTCCCTTGTCAAGACCACACAAGCATCGCCGCACAAAAAAGCATTGGATGTTGGATGAACATTCGCTTGAAGTTCGTGTAGTATAAAATAGCTTGAAAACCACAAAGACGGTGTTGGAAGTTCAGAACCTTTAATGGCAACGATTGCACTAACAAAGCACGCAGTATATCTTCAAAAAAGGATCCCTCAAGAGGTAACCCATGTCTAGGGCCAAAACAAAACAACGTATTATGGTAGGGTCACTGGTGGGGTCAAAATCTGGCAGTCAGTGTGGTCAAACCCCGAAAGTCTGTTGATAGATTTACAGTAGGTTAGCTCAACTAAAGCAATCACAAATGACCCAATGCCGTGTTTGACCACCACTATGCCGCTGGAACTCCGTGAAAGCCTCCAAAGAAGTGCCATTGTACATCAATGCCTCAGCTGCCAAAGGCCTATCAGACTCTCTGCCTGAACATGCCCCAATCACCGGCAAACAGTTGCTAAAGTATGATAAAAACCTGTCACACGTGAGGGAAGGGTCAAAGGTATGTATGTCAGCTCCAATTTGTTAGCTGCTGCGTGGTGTCTGTTGATTCGCGTCGATTCCTGGATGTCTGATTTCCTTTAAAAAAAAAGAAACATATTGGGGACCTGGACAGATTCACCACTAAACTGGATATGGTAACTTAAAAGCAATCTGGCGTGGATATTGATCTCGCCCTACCCAAACATCACAGCGAGGGCGGATGTTGACCACTCGTTGAGTTCTCTGCCCATGGCACCTCCCGTTTGTTTGCCACCAGTTCCCCTGGTCATCATTCACTTCTGATGGTTGTTGATGGGGCCTTGAAATGGAATCAAGAGAAACTCGGATTGTAATTATGACTGCACCCTGTCAGGTAATGATATAGGTTGGCAATGTTCACATAAAAACAATAGTGTCCGCCCGTCGACATGTTTGTCGGCATGCACTGATCCTGGCTATTGATGAAAAAACTCCGCCCTCCCAGGACGGTCAAGCATCTCTAAATGAGCACATGTCTGAATCAACAGCCAACATCATCCGGACGTGAACTTTGAATCAGTCAGCCTTAAATGATTCGTCGATGTCATTAGTTCTTGCCATCGCCAGCCAACATGCGTCGTTTCCCTTCCTTTCTGGCCAAGAGGCCGGTCCCCCTTGAGCGATGATGGCTCCCGGGCGGCTCCAACGGGCGGTCTCTCCTCCGGACGGTCTGAGGTGCCGTGGGGTCTGCGAGCTGGTGACCGCGAAGAACTGCAGCGGATGCGCTGCATTCCACCCTCGAATTTCTGAGGGTTGGGTTTGATCACCGCTGTTTTCTCCTCCCTGCCTCCCTGCCGAAAGCAGAGTGCAGGCACACCGGATCTGAAGCACTGATCGATTCAGAGTTCCAGACAGTATGCGGATGAAGAGATGCCACAAA